TATTAGTAGAAACACACTTATCAATTTTTTATTTAATTACACAATGTCGAATCAATAAAAGCTCACCAAAAACAAAATTTTTTTGAGGGCATCTTAGTAAATATGTTTAGAGAAATATAAACGTTTTGTCAATCATAAGGAATTCTTTATAAATAAAAAGTATTTTAAAGACACCATGCTGTCAAAATACATATGGGAATTAAAGGATAAAAAAATTGATGATTTTATATTGAATTGATCGATCATTAAAACAGCACCTGCATTTAATATTCCAAAAAAAATGCATATAGTCTAAAATTTGAAATAATTACACATGCGAACCAAAAATGTTTATTAAATAAAAAACTGCGTTTAGAAATTTATTTCTAAATTTCTAAACGCAGGAATGAAAATAAGTTTCTCAGAAATGATAAATAATAATAATAAATACTATAATATTATATAATAAACTTTATAACTATTATTATGTATTCCACAAATGTATTATAATAGTCAAGACATTTATGACTTCCTGTAAATTAATTTTTGCTATAAATTAAAAGTTTAATAATTCAATTATTGATTTCTGATGTCTGTATTGATGAAATACTGTGTAAAATGAAAAAAAAAATTGATAAATGATTTTCTACTAATTTAATATTGCTTTTCTATTTTATGACCATTGAACACTCTATTTTATAAATAAATTTAACATTTGAAAGCAAAAGATACACAAAACAAACACTATGTAAGTTTCAGCAATAAGCTGACCGTCACTACTACCATGAATGTAAGCCTGAAATAAGAAGAAAAAATCATTATTAAGGATGGAAAACAAACAATTAAATAAAATATAACTATTCTTATGCTTAACTGCATCTATTTTATTGGAGTTGGCCATCTAGTTAGCACCCAGAAACTATGAAGGGTTAACTAGATAAGGTTCTAATGAAACTATAGATACTTAACAAAATAAACCCTGTTTGGGTTACTGAAAAAGTAACATACAATTTCACCAGTCTGTGGATTTCTATGTGCGTAGGGTGGTCCTCGAATATGATTCCACATTTGACCAGATATCATTATAAAAACAATTATCTAAAAACAATTATCTAAAAAATCTTAATATATAGCAAATTAGCATTACCAAATATTAAAAAAAAAAAAAAAATTATACTTAAAAGCACTTTTTTATTTATTTTGCAAACTCTAATAAAAATCAGAAATATTGTAGAAAATATATTGTCATTCATAACAAAACCTTAAGAATTTTGCAATAATGATCGACTAAATATATAAAAGGTGAGATTTATTTGAGTTAAAATTCACTAGTTAACGCAAACCCAAAATAATTGTATTCAAGATTGGCTGCCTGTTATAAGCAATTAAAAATTGATGATTTTTATAAAGGAGTATGTAACAATGAGCAAATAAAGCTACTTTAGTAGTAATATTTTCAGGAAAACAATTTTTGTTTTGTAGGTCACTCGTAGTTTTTGCAGGTCACCTGTAGTTTTTTCGTATTACACCTGTAGTTATTGTAGTACACCTGTAATTACTAGAAAAGAAATTTAATACAATAAATTTCGATTTTCACAGATACATGTGTGGAAAAATTTATATCTTTTTCATAAAAACATGTGAAAAAATATTCTTATATTTATATCACAGATACAAATAATTTTTTCAGATGTATAGAAAAATAATTTTCCTAAATACACTGTGTGGAAAAAATTATTATAGAAAAGACCAGCAACCTAAAGTCTAATAATTTTGATAGTTAAATTTTTTGATGATCAGAAAGTTGTTGCATTTAAAGTTTACTGGCAAAAAATTGGATAAAAATATTTAAAAACTCTTTAACAACTGAAGCAGGAATAAATTTGAGATTTAATAATGGATTAAACTGTCTCTTTGATATGACAGGAAGAATATGGCCATTCGATCAAAAAAATGAGTCGAAGAACAAAAAAAAAACTTTAGCAAATAATTCTGTTTTATTCTTGAGAGAGGTAATAAGAACAGATCCATGAAGTGAAATATTAGACTTGCCATGAATGTCATTAAAAAAGAAATTCTCAATACTCTTGTCTCTCTAGGTAGCATTTTTTTAAAATAGCTTAGATTTAGAGTTTTTCCTAATATCTTGCATATGTATGAAAATAATTGAGCCTGTTTCAAAAAATTCATATTCTTATTAAAAAACAAACAACATGTAATCTGAGAATGGAAAATCTTTCATATCAGACAGTACCTGTATGCATCATTTTAATGCAATATTTAAAATAACTTTCCAAGCCATAGTGCAAAAAACTTAGATCAACTAAATGTATTTTTTTAGAACATTTATCTTTAGAAAATACATTAAACAGTCTTTTTATTTCCAGAAAAAAACTTTTTATTTCCTGAAGAAAATATGTATGAAATACTTTTTACCACTTGTTACCCAAAAACAATTTTTGAAATACTTTTTATCACTTCTTGTTACATTTTTTGAAATAACACCATTATGTAACCCTAACAAACAATTTATTTATTTTGTTAAAAACTGAATAATAATCTACTAAAATACTTTGAAATTCAATAAATGTATAACTTGAGCTATCAACTTTTACTAATATACGAAAACTATCATCCTTTGAAAAACTAGCTACCAATAACAAAATATCAAATTCATTTAGCTTAGTTTAATAATATATATGTATACTATATACAACTATGCATACCTATTAAATAAAAATATATATTGCATAAACAGAATATTACAGTAACAAAATTAAAACAATAAAATAAAACAAAGTAAAACTAACCAAAGCAAATATTGCCCAATAATCTCTGTTGTAGAACACCTCTAAACTTTTTCTCTTTACATACAAAAGTGCACCAATCAATGCTAACAATACACCAATTGTCATTGCCATTACATAGTTTGGTGGTCGCATTATATGAATCTTTTTTTAAAAAAAATTACTTTTAAAAACTGTTGAAATGTAAACATTAAAATACAATTTTTTAAAAATACATACTGATACATCTGTTCTGTCCAACACCCATTTTGCTAATTGCTCTGCAGCAAACCCTTGTCTGTAATAAAATAAAAAATAAAAAAAAAGTTTGGTTGGCTAGAAAATTATTGATAATTATTATAATTGATAATTATTATAAAAAATCACTTGATATAAACTGGAATTGGTTTATATCATTTACAACAAAGGTCAATTTGCAAATTATTTAGAAATTTTGAAGAACAATGTATATAATTGGATTGAATTAGAAAGTTTGATATTTTCATGCCAACTTGCTCTCAGGCAAAATTGTCAAGACATGGCTCCAAAGAAATTTTTTTGAACCATGTCTTGAAAATAAAGGGAGAGATACAGTCAAAGACTTTGCTAAATGACAAGTCAAACAAGATGAGTTTTGGTTGATGGAGAAAATAACAATATATAAACAATCTTAAAATTATTCCTAGATAAACCATATGAAACAAGATTGGGGAGAATAATAGTATGCTAAACTTTATCCAAAGCTTTTAACATGTCAGGAGCCTAAGCCCTTGCCCTCTGCTACATTAAATTCACAATAGAATCTGTCAGTTACAGCAGTTACCAAGTCAGCCTTAGAACCAAATGATAGAAATCTGTATTGATTTTCAGAGAATTAATTCACTGAAGACATTAGTGAAGCAACATGAGACAACATTCTTTTGTTGTTATATGACTAAATGCTTTCTTTAAATCTGACAGGTTTAGTTACGCCAGTGAGGTCCGATCAGTCTTCTCTCTATTATTAGTATGGTCTTTAATCATAAAATTTTTAACATTTTGTAAAGAATAGAAGCTGTTCTAAAAGTTTGAGGAAATACAAAGTACTAAAATATGTTTTATACTGTGACTTCTTTAATCTTTTATATTTATGTATGTTGTTTTTGAACTAACACCTTTTCTAGTAAAGAAATCCAAATATTATTAAGTACAAAACTGGATTTTTGTTATAAATATTGGGCAATTGAACCAAATATAAACAGGGCCACAGAAAGAAACATTGAGCCCTAAAGAAGTTTTCTTGGTGGGACCTTATTAAATGATCAATCATATACCCAGAACCACTAGAAGTGGGCTTGGGCCTCTAAAAATAAAATCTTTTGGCTTTGTATGAGGTAATTTATAATTTGATTATAAAATAAAGATATAAAATATTTCTCTCTGTGCAGCTGCCTTGTTTGACAAGGTTCATGTTTCAGATCTAGAGTTGAAAGAGGGTTGTAACCTCGACTGTAGGGGCCCACTCAGCCTTAGGGAGGTGAATAACAAAACATATCTATTTATAATATATGTGTGTGTATCAGGCCTTGTTATGAATAAAAATTACTTAGCGCATTTGCGTAACAGAGTTTTTGATGTCATAAAGTTATTTTATTTGCTTTTCATATTTATCGTCATTAACTTTTTTGAACTACCGGAATTTACAAAAACTCAAAAGAATGTAGAAATGTTATTATGTTAACTAATGCTTACTTAGATTCCAGTTTTTTAAAATATAAAAAATATTTGTTTATTTTCTGCACGTTTGACACAATCATTTCTCTATAACTAAATGAATAAATTGATTTTTTTTAATTTCTTGAATACATATTAAGAGTTTTGCTAATAACCAATTATTTTTTTATTTTTAAAAAGTCAGCAAGTAACAAAGTAAAAACATTAAATAATGTGAGAAAAAAATTGAACATAAGTTAAATTTTTTACCAGCTTTTTTTTGTAAAAAAAATTTTTTTTAACAAAATAATTGAAATGCGCTTGTGTTATTAAAATGTGTTTTTGTTTGTACATATTTTTAATAATTACAAGAAACTTCATTTCTAGCAACAACAACAACAACAACAACAACAACAAAAAAAAAGAATAAAAGCCTTATAGGTTTAAACGATACTTAACTCTGATGAAAAAGTAAAACTTGTTTACAATATATAATAGTCCCGCTAAACTATTGAACAATAGTCGTGCTAAAATTTAAAATCAATCAGATTAAGCATTACATGATTAAATATGAGAAATTTTATATACAGCTATATACAAATATAAGAATAAGTTAACCTAGGATAGCTTATTTTAAACCTACTTTTAATGAACCCTTTGACTGTCAAGTGATACAAATCTACCATTATATAAAAACTAAAGAAATAATTTTTTAGGAGTCAAGCAAAGTTAAAAGTTTTTTAAGGTAAGTTTTTATTGCTGATTGTTGCTGTATTTCTAATATCTGAACAAATGTATTTTATAAAACTAACATTGTCTAAATATTCACATGCTTTTAGATTATTGTGCTTAGATTAATTTTTTTATTTTTTTATTTATTTACGTAGTGTTAAAAAAACAGACGAGTTTTACTTCTATAGTTGAATATTTTAATTATTTTCATAAAAAAAATTAGTTTTATAAAAGTTTAAAGTTTATTATTTTTATTAACTTTTTTCACAACAGTGTGCAATTATTAAAACCTAACTAGGAAAGTTGCCTTTATTGGAACACTTAAGAAATAAATATTTATTAACCAAAGATGGCTTAACTAAGAAAACATTTATGATTTGATTAAAACAAACAAACAACCCTACTATACTTTTTACATAATTTGACTTCATTGATTGCACTGTTATTGGAAATAAATTTGTTTTTGCAAAGATAACATTTTGTTCCAATCAAGGCAATTGGTTCTCTAAATTGGAACATTTTGATTCCTTAATCTGAACAGGTTGTTTCTTTAAAAAAACAAACAGTTAAATCAACAAAAATTGATAAAAAATGATTTTTATCTTTACAATAAAAATTTAAACAGTTCATTTAAAACTTACAATAGTAATCCTATTGTAAGTTTTGAATGAAGTGTTTAAATTTTTACTGAATAATTAATATTACCCTGGACAATTAAAAGCTTTAACTGTTCTCCTAATTTATTGATTAAAAATCACTAAAGTATTATTTTTAAGGTTTATGGTTGTTACTTAGTATTTTTAAATTGCACCTTAACTATTTTTATAGCCCTTTTTTATTACTGATTAAGGAAAACTTTATAGTTCAAATCAAGGAAACTTTGGACATAGTCAAAACATAGAAAATAAGACATTTTATTAGAAAAATGCAAAATATAGCTTTAAAATTAGTTCTTAGTTTGCCGTGTCGTGAAACAACAGCTAATTTTGTGTTGATTTTATATTCATCTTTAATGATACAGATGGTATTTTATTTTTGGCGCTGATCAATCAATGTATGCAGCGCTGAAGTAGAGTAGAAAAAAAAAAGAACACCAAAAAAGGAACTGATGCTTTCCCAGAACATATTTTAATCTCAGGGGAGGAGGAGTTGATTGAGAAATAATTTGACAATTTCACAATCTCGTTATAACTCTGTATCAAATTTATTCCTGGTTAACACCTGTGTATATATATATATATATATATATATATATATATATATATATATATATATATATATATATATATATATATATATATATATATATATATATATATATATATATATAAATTATATATATATATACATATAAATTTTATATATATATGTAAATATAAATTATATATATAAATTATATATATATACATATATATATATATACATACATATATATATATATATATATATATATATATATATATATATATATATATATATATATATATATATATATACACACACATATATATATATATACACACACACATATATATATATATACACACATATATATATATATATATACACACACACATATATATATATATACACACACATATATATATATATATATATATATATATATATATATATATATATATATATATATATATATATATATATACCCTCGGAATTAGGGCTGGCATTCGGCAATGCCGACCTAACTGCCAACCATAAAGTGTTTGAGGTCGGCAATTGTGTTATGGTGAGACCTTTGTAAATTTTTTTTGCCGACCTCTAAAAGATTGAGGTCGGCCAGTTATTGTTGACCTTGTTTTTCCTAATTCGGAAGGTTGATATATATATATATATATATATATATATATATATATATATATATATATATATATATATATATGTATATATAATACATTAAAAAAATTATAACATTAACCTGCCCATATCATATGTATCGACTTTTTTTTGAGGTCCTCTTGCAGGAAAATGCATTATTACAGGAGCTGAGTTCAATTTTAACTGTAAAATAAACAAAAGATTTTAAATTCCAAACTTACAAAAACTTCTTTACAAATCAAATTGAAACATTGACTTACTGCTTGGAAAACATCAGAGCCCTCATCAAAGTCAACCATAGCAAAAAATAATTTGTTACTAGTAAAACCATTTGAATACCGCCAAGAGCTTGCAAGAATCTGATATTCACTATTTACCTCTCTAAAAAATGATATAAAAAATACAAAAATAAAAGTTATTATTTAATAAAAATATATATAAATTATATTCATTGATAGTCTATGTTGGAACATACATAAAACAAAAATGTAGCTAGGTATCTTAAATAAGATTTTTATATTTATTGAATAACTTAGTTATCAATTAAAAAAATAAATAATAATATAAAAATGTTATACAATATCACTATTTTATAAAAATAATTGATTGTACTTCTATATATTATTATAAAACTTTATTCATTTCTCTTTTTCTTTGTGAATAAAAATGTCAATTTGTGAATTTGAAAACTTTGACACAATAACAAATGGTAGAGCAACAAATTATTTAAAAAAATTTTGTAATTAAACCTTGAATAAATGAGTTGGATACTTGTAAATCTAGAAAATTGAATACTTGTAAAGTTAACAATAGTTTTTCCAAGTTAAACTGCACTTTTTTTTTGCTCAAAGCCGTTTGAATATGTCTCATTTTGTTTTTGTTTTTTGTTCAATGTTTTTGCTTTGATTTCTTTACTCTTGAGTGAAATTGAATTCAGTTGTATTCATTCAATTCTTGAATTCAGTTGTATTAATCTTTTTTTTTTTTTTTGATTTGTTTCTTTACTCTGCACAGTGGTTTGAAAAACTTGATTTTTGGCCAGAATTAAAAAAAAAAAAAAAATCAGTAATTTTTGTTATTTTTAAACACATTGTCCAGGCAATCCCAAAATATATAGGTTACATATTTTTTCTTGAAAGAAATGTCAAAAACCGTACCCGAGTGCAATTAAAAACTGGTGAATAATTTCTTGCAAAAAACAACATTTTTTCATTTGTGTATAAATTTAAAACTATATGCACGTAAGTATAGATTTTTTTTTTAAAACAAATTTTATAGTATAGAGTTTAATTTAAAATAATAATAATTTTTTATCATTGTATATTTGTAATTTTTTATCATTGTATATTTTTTATCATTGTATATTTGCGGAGTTCGATCCTCGCCACGTCCCTGGTAGTACCGCGCTCAACTCGTTTCTCCGCGCAGCGGCCTTGTTCATCAAGGTTTGTGTTTCGGAGTTATAGAGTTGAGAGAGGGTTATAGCCACAAATAAGTAGCCTCCTCGTCTGTAGTGACCTTCTCGGCCTTGAGGAGGTGAATTAAAATTAAAAAAAAAAAAAAAAAAAAAATTTGCCTAAGTTATTTATGTTTGAAACTAGCATAAAATAATTTTTTTTTTTTTTCAATTTCAAATTCTTCTTAAAACTTAAGTCCGCATGCATGGAGTTAATTGATATGATTTTATTAAATCCAAATATGCATATATTATTCAAAAAAAAAAAAATCAGTTGCAGATAAACTTATTTATACCAACTTTCCAAGTTTCCAAAATACACCTTTTTTATGTTATCAAAAAATACCAGTGTCTCTTTTTTTGTTTTATTTCTATAAATACATGCTCAAAAACATTTTTTTTTCATTATACAATTGTACTTGCTACCTAATTTGTTAAAAATAGTTCAATAATTCATTTTTATAAAATATTCCATATATTTAACTAAATGAAAATACTTTAAAAAATGCATATTTTGATAAATTTAAAATCTATTTAAAACGCAAAGTCCGCTATTAAAACATTATATTTGTAGTATAATTTGAACATCTATTATCGCCTAATAATTCCTAAAAAAATCAGTTGCAGATAATTAAAATAAAGGAACTAATATTCATTGCAAACCATACCGTATTGACACTATATTGTGTCACATTTTAAATCATATCTTTGTTATTCCGTATTTTATGCATACTTTTTATATTATGGTTTTTAATTTAATGTATTAACTTATATATATCTTTAGATTGATTATTAAATAAAGGAACTAATATTCATTGCAAACAATACCGTATTGACAATATATTGTGTCACATTTTAAATCATATCTTTGTTATTCCGTATTTTATGCATACTTTTTATATTATGGTTTTTAATTTAATGTATTAAATTATATATATCTTTAGACTGATTATTAAATTGAAAATAATATAGTAGCTTTTCAGGAAAAAAATAAATACCCAATTTATAACAAGTTTAAGGAATTTTTGCGAGTGATTTTTTGTTATTTATTATTTAAAAATATTGATAAAAAACTTGTAAAAAATAAACAGAAATCATCACCTGCAATTTTTAAATAAAATATTTAGTTTTGGCTTAATATAAATTTGTTGTTGTTGTTGGGGGAGGGGGGGGGACGGTGTTGCTATATATATATATATATATATATATATATATATATATATATATATATATATATATATATATATATATATATATATATATATATATATATATATATATAGATATATATATATACATATATATATATATATATACATATATATATATACATATATATATATATACATATATATATATATATATATATATATATATATATATATATATATATATATATATATATATATATATATATATATATATATATATATATATATATATATAAATCCGATATATTATGAAACCACAAGCATTTAAAATAAAAACTTTTTGTAAAATTCTTGACTGGACCGCTTATGCGATATCTGAACAACAAAACCTTTAAATTAAAAACTGATTTTGGATTTAAATTCAGCATTATCGGTTTAGTATAAAAACCAAAAATCAAGTTTTTCAGACCACTGTGCTCTGGAGTAAATTTTTATTCAGTTGTATTGTTCAATATTTTTGTTTAGATTTGTTTCTTTACTCTGGAGTAAGCTTTATTTAATTGTGTTGTTCAATTTTTTTTCTTTCTATTTGTTTCTTTATTGTCGAGTAAACTTTATCCAGTTGTTTATTTTTTTTTCTATTTGATTCTTTCCTCTTGAATAAACTTTATATATTTGTGTTGTTCAATGCTTTTGTTATTCAGTTGTATTGTTTTTTTGTTTTTTTTTCTCTGCCTAAGTCTGCATGTTGTAAAAGAAAAGCAGGTCAAAATTGTTGGACACTAACAGCATGCCTCAAAAAAAAATTATGTAACATCCTGCAACAGCAACACAGTAAAAATAAAAAATTTATATAAAAAATAATAATAAAATATGAAGTTAATGCAAACATAACTTTTTAAAAAAAATGTATGAGTTTTTACTCTTAAAGATGTTAATACAATTAAAGTTAACAACAACAAATCTAATGTTGCTATTGTTATCAATTAAAAAGATTTCAGATTTATCAGTAAATACCAAGTTATGCAGAATTTTGAAGCAAGTCAATATTCTGCATAACTTTAGACAATGTGTTTAAAATCATGTTTTAAACACCTTGTCTCAAGCAACTCCATATCAAGCAATCAAAGATGGCTGTAGTAGGTTAAATTGTTTAAGTGCAATTTTTTTTTTGTGAAACACATATTGCATATTCTTAACTGTTTTCATTAGTTAAATTTGATATGGTGATCAAACTGGGAAGCAATATTCTAATAATTGCCTAATATATATAATAAAGGCTCTTACTAAGATACTAGAATCACAAGACTTAAAGCATTTCAAAATATTTTGTATTAGCTGCATAGATAACGTTTCAAATATGTTACTTTAAATTAAGGTAAGAATTCAAAGTTATACCATGATCTTTTGGATTATAAGTCCACTCTAAAATATGATCTCTTAACTTATAGTTAAAACTTATATACATTTTTATATTTTGTTTTTATATTTTTACTTTGGATTATTAACAATGTTTGGAAATAAGTCATAAAGTAAACATAAGGTTCTCCTTTTTTTTTTTTTTAAAGAGCACATGGTTAAACTAAATAAAATTTTCAATGCAGAAAAGTAATATTATATTAAACACAGAATTATTGTATGGCAATTATGCAAGTGATGCAATACAAAATGCAAACAAATAAAGTAAACTTACTTGCATATTGCACATTGTCTTTGTGGAGATAATGCTGTAAGCATGAGTATTATTGAGTAGTTCTTTGGACTAGTTTTAACATACTGCCTGTATTTGTCACCATTCATGCGAATAACAGGTCGTCTGCTGTTTAAGTCTACTAAGTTTTGAACCTTTTGTTCCAGTTGAATATTTACACTCTGAAAATATATATAATTTATAAATGGATATTTTTAATTAGATACTTTTTCAATTTTTTAAAGATAGTTTTATAAAAATATCAACACAGGTTTTTATTTGCAAACTTTGCACATAAAAACCTGTGTTATAACCTTAAAAAATTTTACTTAAGCAATTCACGAACAAATTATCAGAGCAATTTAAAGCTATTGAAACTTATATTTTCTATTGGATTTAAGAACTTTAGAAAAACACAAATGTTGTGAGTAAGCTAAAATAGATTCAGGCCATTAAAAATATATTCTTTTTAAGCAGATGAAAATAAAAAGAATTTTGTGTTAAATACAATCGTTTTCTGTTATTTTTTCTTTTCTTTTTTTTTGAAAAAAAAAGACTAAAACTGGCACAAAAATAGGTGTTATTCGATAATACTTAACTAAACACCAAAAGTATGATGCTAAAAAGTTACTATTGTTATAAAAAAGTGTAGTTTTTTTATATTTTTTCAAATATACTTTTTTTTTAAGAATTCGCACATAACATTTTAAATATCTAAGACGTAAATAATGAGTTTCATACTAAAAATGAACCATTCTTGTTCTAGTTATGCATGGAAATCATCAAGGAAAATGCAATTTATAGTATTAGAATATTTACTAGCTTTATTGAAAAAGAGTTGAAACTTTGATTTTTTTTTCCTTCTCTAGCTAGCAAACTTGATTAGAATGAAATGTATGAATAATAATTTTAATGTACTCACTGATAGCGCTTAAATACAGTGCAATCAATACAGGCACTGTATTAAAAGCACGATCACTTGCAATTAACAAATTTAAAAAAATAAGCAAAAAACCTCTCTTGATTTTTTTTGTTTTGTACATTTAACAAAATTATTTGTTGTAAAGATAACAGCAATTACGACCAATGTAGCTAACCAATGCGCCATTTTTAATGATACGAAACGACACAATAACTTTCCGATTTTAAATCCGGATAAATATTTTTCGCAGGATTAGATAAGATAATTATCGGGTTGTGAAAAACGATTTTAATGGAAAATATTATGCACTTTTTTGTGTTTAAACAACAATATTGATACTAACCGCGTCTTTATAATGAAAACTGCTGTATAAAACAAAATGTTATTACAAAAACTTTTTGTAAAAAATAAACAGAAATCATCACCTGCAATTTTTAAATAAAATATTTAGTTTTGGCTTAATATAAATTTTGTTGTTGTTGTTGGGGGAGGGGGGGGGCGGTGAAATTGAGTAATTTAGACTTCTTTGTGTAACTTCCGAGGAAATAAACAACTTTCGATGGGATTTGAAATTTCAGTTTAAAAAAATAATGAAAAATCAAGAAAGCACATTTTAAAGTTATTAAAAAATGTGATTTCTTGATAAAGAAAACTATTACAAAATTAAAACAGCTCTAAATACCATAGAACAAAAAGAAAAGTAGAAAAATGTTTCAAAAAAAAAAAAAAAGGAGATCTTTTATTTAAAAAAAAATACCTTTTTTTGTATTTAGAGAATGAGAAAGCCAAAAGTTGTTGGCCTTAACACCTGCAGACTCACTGACACTAGAGCCAAGCCATTTATTGTGAAGAGCATTAAAGTTGCCAACAACAACGATATTGGCTGGAGGATAAAGAAAAAGGGCTTGGTCAATTCGATCAGAAATAACATCAAAAAGTACAATCTTGAGATGGAGATTGAGGAGAGCGATGTAGAACAAAGAGAAAGGTGATAGCGTGAAGTGGTGCTAAACAAAAGTACATAAAAAAAATAGTCTGTGAATTCAAACCAGGTTTTCCAACAAATGGGTGAATTCTTACAAATGTAAAGAGTTGCCCAGGCCAGGCATGTAACTATTGGAGTCTTTACGAATTAAAGGAAGATAGCTATCAACACTAAGATCACAAGATGAGACAGCCGAACTCAAATTAGTCTTACAAATAACATGTAGTTCAGTGAACTTTGCAAGAGATAAGACTCAACAGAAGAAAAGTTACTTCGAAGGCTACGAATATTGGTGAATGATAGATTTAGAGGACTTGATGATAACGATGGTTTTTTTTATTTGTTAAAGAATTTGACTCAAAGCACAGATAGTACTCAGTGCACTATTTAATAGTCCAAGCAATTGCCTTATTACTATTAATAAACCCTAAGCCGTTACAATGGGATCCAAATGTGGCTTTGACAATGCACGCCGAAAGTACGAACAGGGACACCATTCATGCGCAACATGGCCCTGTTAGTACTCTGATATCTTACAGCTGTTGATGGAATCAGCCTCTCTGAGAGCTACCACAGAGTTAGGAAAACTTGACTACCAACCGGTCTTAGAACAATAAAACTGAGTTTTAATGCTGTACCATTATTAGGAGATAATAGAATGAGTTGCCTAGTCATAAAAACAGAGACAAATGCAAAACTTTTAGGTTATATACTATTTGCACACGCATTCAATGGATTAGACATAGTAGCAATAACCTATAACTTTGAGAAAACTAAAACTTTTACAAAGATAAAAGTTTAATTGAAATCTTTTGCAATCTAAAACAAATTTTCACTTATAATATTGGAACAGCAGAAATTCTTTTTCTTAAGCTGATTCAGTCACCGATTCTCAATCTACAGCAGGTCACGAAACATAAATTTGATAAAATGGTGACATCTGATCGTGGATCAGATGATCAAATCCAATTTGATCTGCAATTTGTTTTTCTCAAATCAAAAAACCTGACAAGACATGCTACTAAAAAGCTGATAAAGTTATCTTTTTAACAATAATTTCTATAAGTCTCTATAAATATTTTCAGTACGTTATGCATAAATTCTACAATATTATTACACTATGCTAAACTAATCCAATTATCTTTACCTCTAAAAGAAATAATTTACTAGTTAGTGCAGTTAGGTTATCATAAAAAAGTATATTCTCTTCATTGTCATCAGTCTTGACAGCTGGTTTCAAAGTTTTCTTATTCATTGATATTAAACTGTATACGTCTACGCGTTTGGTTGCAAATGCACATCAACATCTTTGTGGTAAGGTTCCTTCTCATCAGGGCTGATTTGTTTTCCTTTTCCACAAAAAAATAACGCTAGATGAGTTATGCATTTAGGCAAAATACAAACTTAAAGAGTACGTTGTCGTTTTCATAGTTCTGGTTGCTTTAACCAAACTCTATAATCTTTGCAATCATTTTTGGTAAAAGTAGAGTTTATATTCTAGGTTTTCTTTTGATTCACTATAAACGGTAAGGGTAATGGAACAACGTTGAATCGACGGCTAGGTGCAAGTTTTCCCATTTTCAATTTGTATGATGAATTTTTGTTATCTGATCTTATAACGCCTTCGTGAAGTTGGATATGAAACTTTATTAATTCCATTTTCTTGATTTGTACACCAAAAAACATAACATTCAGCTTTATGAAAATGTGTTTATATCTTGTATTGAGTCTGTTCTTTTTTATTACCTTTTTATGTTCAATAACAGCGGAATCAAATGTAAAGCGACGATTGTTTTTTCATGTTGTTTTTTGTTTTTTTTAAATTTTTTTATTTCGTCATATATATATATTTGTATACATATATATATCAGGGGCGGGTTTAGCTTTTTAAAGAGGTTAGTCAAAAAAGTCGGTTGCGGATTTTACCGCCCCCTCCCCACGAAAGGACGGGGGGGGGATAAAGATGAATTACAAAAAAAAGTACCTACCCCATTTGTTTGATAAATAAGTTATTTGCAAAGTCTTTAAAAAAGCGGCTCGAATAGGGTTGCATATTTAAAAAATAGACACAACAAACTAAGTAAAAACAGACTACTATAATATTATTAAATTACAAGTTTAATACACAGTATGATTAATTTATAATAAAATATTAAAACATTTTTTCTAGGTATGTAGTTTTTTAATTCAAAAAGTACAAAGTGAAAAGTGCTCTGCTTTTCACAAGTTATTATACGATTAAATAATGCTTTGCACTTGAAGATATAGTTGAAGATATAGCAATATTAATATATATATATATATTCAATCTACAAAAATAAAATATTGTCTGTTAAAATATTTTGGGGGCATCATTATTGTGTATAATTGTAACATATATAAATAATACACCTGTATGGAATATAACAAATTATTAATTAAATAGGCAAGGTTTGCATAGTTAGGCGACTTGCAAGTAGAATAACAACTTTGTAAAAGTAAACAACTGCAATAACATTAATACCATAATTATAAAAAAATCATAATGTAATTTATTAGTATGACTATCATACTATGAGAAATGCAATAACACAAAAGCAATAATATAATAACTAACCATAAAAACCCATTTTTTTATTTTATCCCATTAATAGATATGTTATACAATGTTAAACAATTGTAATATTAATGTTCGTAAACAAAGTTATGCTTACAGTTAATGTGTTACATGTGTTTATTTTCTCTAAAGTGTTGACTAATGATCAATAAAGTAAACTTCAAATAATGAAAGCTTACAAAATTAAAACCATATTTCAACTCAAATAACCACACATGGTAGAATCTCAAGGTAGAGCTAAAAAAAAAAAAAAAAAGCATATAAAAGACAATGTATATAATGCTCTTAATTAAAATATCAAAGATACAGTACATAACGGTACCAGTTTTGATTAACAATTGACAGGTAAAACTAAAGATAATTAGAGAAAAAAAGAATACAATAAAAATTAGACATGTTTAAATTTATAAAGGTAATAAAATCTCATGAAAAATAAAATAACAACTAAAATAAAATAAATAATCCTTTTAAATAAATAAAACAATAAAAAATAAAATAATTATATTTTTTAATTTAAAAATTATACAAACTTTCTATTTGAAGAAGATCTTAAAGATACTGAATAAAGATTTGTATATACAGTGTATATACAAACCTTTATTCTGTATCTAATTTACAATGTAAAAAACACATAAATTCTTCCCTAACATCATAGGAATTGTCTATAAATCTAATTACTAAAGACAATTATTCCAGTCAGAAGCTTCATCAGCAATAACTGAAAAAAATTGATTTTCTTTTATTTCAGAAATCAAAATATTTTGGATGTACTTTCCACAACAACTTATTAATTCATTCTGTGAGGAATTAGAAATATAAGATGCATTCTTTGCACAGCTGTTAAGATAATGTTCAAGAATTTTTGTTCAATAAAAAAAAGTTCAATAAAATTACCTACTCCACCCACTGAAGAATATTTGCCAATGACCATCACAATGACCACTGAAAGCTATATTAAGTTGACCTAAGAAAATGATTTTCTCACAAAACAACTTCTTACAATTTAAAGCAATCTCCTTTTCATATTCTTTATTAAAATATCTATATTTTAAATATTTCCATTCATAGTATTTAAAACTGCAGAAAATATGGTCCAGGCATTATAATGTAGAATTTGTACTGCGTGATAATGTTCATAAATATTTCAGCTGAGTGATATTCATAATTATTCCCGTTTTTCCCATGGTAATGTCTATTAAAAGTGCTCACAGCATCTGGCCTATATTTGAATGACTGAGAATACAAATTTTTAAATCTAGAAGCTTTTGAAGGGTATTTATATCTAAACAAAACACAACACAAACAAAATGCTCCATCTTCAGAAGGTGAATATCTAAGCCATGAAATTTGTTTTAATGATAAAAGTTTTTAAAGATTGCCCATTTGTTTTTGGAAAAGAAGTTTCATCAGGAACAAAAACATTTTGAATCAAATTTTATATTTGTAAATCTTTCAAAGTAGAAGCCTTCGAACGAAACAACAAATTGTTAATTTGTTGTTTCAATATCTGATGATGAACATAGAATACAAGGTTCAATATTAAGATTAAACATAAATTTATATTTTAGGAGAGAACTGTTCTATAGTAACACTAAACTCTTGTAGAACACACAATTGAAAGAGCAAGAACACAAAGAAACACAGACCATAAATTCTATACACATATGAAATGTTT